GAGAAAACACAGCGTGAGGGGACTGGTTTCCCCAAATCTCTGACCACAACGCTACTGAATTTTTTGATCTCTGCTTAAAAGTTGTGTCTATACCAAAAAATCCACCAATTTAAATTAACTCTACTATTTATGCCAAGAAGAATAATCAGATAGCTATCCACAATTATACTAGAAGCTTGTTAATGGCTAGCAAAAGCCTTGGTTGAGGTGAAACTTGCTAAGGGATATTTAAACAAATATTAGTGGAGGTGTACATATATATTTCACTCTGCATATACTTTTGACTCTATGTGAATTAGAGAAAACCCAAGCTTTATAAGTGCAGGTAGGGAATATGTCTGTTAAGTATGTATGTTGAAGCTCTTTCTTGACTAGTAATTCATGTTTCAATTGGAGAGTCAAAGAAAACCAATGGGTTTTTCTTTCAGGTTCAAAAGTTCATCTAGCATGAACAACATAAGTGTCTCATTCCTGACTGGCCGAGAGACTGACCCTGATGAGGAAAATGCTGTGGAAAATAACTATTCCACAGCGATTGGTGCCTTCATCTTTAGCTTGGTCTTCCTCCTGGGTGTCCCTGGAAATCTCTTCATTGTCTGGAGCATCCTGGCCCGCATACGCCAACGCTCAGTCACCACCCTCCTCATCCTCAACTTGGCATGTGCTGATGGGTTCCTCATGGCTCTCTCCATCTTTTTCATCATCTACCTGGCCATGCAGTCGTGGGTCTTTGGTAACACCATGTGCAAAATTGTGTTCTACCTGTGCAACTCCAACATGTATGCATCAGTCTTTCTGATAACCCTGATGAGCGTGAACAGGCTGTTGGCTGTGGTCTTTCCACACACACTGTATCACCTGATCACCAGGAAGGTTGTGAGGAGGGTGATCCTAGGCACATGGGTGCTAGTGATGGCCATTTCCATTCCCTCGTTGGTGTTTCGAGATGTGAAAGAAGAAACTGATGATATGAATCAAACAACATATGTGTGTGTACCCAATCACACACTGCGAAGACATGTAAGTACACTTGTGTTGGTTATCTGTCTGCCACTGATCTGATTAGATTCATAACCATATTTGTTTCCATCATCAAAATGCCTTCTAAAAACCTTCTGCCTGTGAGAGCCCGTGAAATAGTGAATGAGGTATTGAACATGATCACGCTTTGAGCAAAAGGGCCAGAATTCTTCATTCATGACTTAATTAATAAAAGAAAAAATGGTTCTTTAAAAGACTGGTTAAATGTTGTTGGGGAAATCTACACAATGGAAAAAATGACTTACATTCTCAGATTAAAGGAGGATATTTTGGTTGTTTGTTTATTTCTCCTAAAAATGTAGTATATCTCTGTGTTTAAACTGTAACTATTGATAAAAACTACCGTGTCAAAAAATACTCTTATAATACTCTACATTTTATTAGATATGATTTCATGAACAATTAGACAGCTAAAACATTTGCCTATTTTAACAGGAACACACTATCTGAAACTGAGAGGAAAGAAATATTGCAGATGTGTTTGTTACTGTGTTTAAGGCCTTGGAAGCTGCAGCTTAACTAGTGTTTAAAATGTAGTTAAAATAACTAAAATTACACCAGACTGCATGTTTTTTAAGCCCTTGAGCCCATACACTGTAAATACTGATGCATGAGTAGTGGCACTGCACAAAAGTCTGAAAATCATTTTGCATTGATCCTTCATAAATGTAGTAATGCTCTTCTGTAAAACATTCCTTCTTTACAGGTAAAAGTCCTCCTTAAGTAAGGTGGCAAAAATATTAGAATCAAAATATTCTAAAACTACATAAAGTAAAATGATTTATTTTTCAGAATGGCCCTTTTTAGATCAAAGACCATAACAACATTATTTGGTTTTAGGTCTTCAGATGTTTCATTTTGTCCTCTCATTTGACAAAAAAGAACCAGAAAAGTTGATCAGTTTAAACAGTTTCATAATTTTGGCTCTATTTCTTTGTTTTTCATTTAATATCTAAGGAAACAGCTTTTCTTTATATCCTCTCATGTGCAGGTGAGGTTTGAGTACGCCTTTCAGACAGTGGCAGGATTCATTATTCCTTATGCAATCATTATAACCAGCTACGTTCTCATCCTGAAACGCCTGAGGGAGACCAGGTTTCAACGAAATTTCCACAGCGAGAAACTTATCCTGGCTATCATCATAATGTTTGGCCTGTTCTGGTTGCCGTACCACGTCATCAACATAGTACAGGTGTGCAAGGGCATCTTCTCTACCAATAACCCAATAACCACATCAAATCTGTTTGTAAATCGATTATCTGAGCATTTGATTGAATACTGAGTTTTTATTTTTCACCCAAGGTGGCAGCTGCGTGGTACGAAAAAGACTCAGCAACAAGAAAACGGTGAGTAACTGAAGATTTTCATAAACATGGTGCTAAAGTTAGTGAAGTACAATATTGTCATTTTATGCATTATGTCCAGTAATAACAATACTCTGCAATTCAAAGCTGATATATGTAGTCTGTCTCTGTGCATGCAGTGACATACACCTAGATTTAATTTTTACCATCCAGTATACTGAATATACTATAATTGAGAGTTTGAATGTGCCGCCATCTTCAGTATATAATATTATCAAAATATTCCAAAATCTGGAGAAATCTCAATATTCGGGCTTCATGTGACACTGCACTAAAAGCAGGCAGGATTCTGTTGTGGAAAATCACTGCAGGGGTTCAGGACCACTTCCAGAAATCTCTTTGTGAATATCATGTTCACCTTGACATCCAAAAGGTTGAAGCTCTAACAAACAAGAGACAGATCGTCACTGATTTCTAGACTCGATTCGATTCCAATTCACAAGGTCCCGATTCAATTCGATCCATGATTCGATTCGATTCAATTTTGACCCAGACAGTCAGAGATATTATAATTCTGATCATTTATCAGTACTG